ATGCATACATGCCTGGGGTGCTTCCCCATCCGTATTGTTACTCGCCCCATCATCCAGCAATGCCAAAGGAAAAACAGGGACTGTGAATGGTGATGAGTGTGCCCTTTCAGCAATACAAGTGGAGATTAAGGTGAGGAATGGGGAGAGCAGGCAGCTGATGGAGAGTGCTCCCTCCCAGGTACCATTAGCACAGCTCAGCTGCATTTTTTTTCTTTTTTTAGTCCAACTCTCACATTTCATGCCCATCTCTTACAGCAGAATAGATTTAGGAGCAAGGCTGGTTTGGATAGGTTTTCAGATACAATTTTGACATACAAATTTGGTGGCCCAAGTGGTTTTGCCCAAGTGGTTTTGTCGTGTTCTTTTTGTTAACTAACTCACACATATGTGTCTGTCAGTAAACACTTCAGTTACATGCATTCATGCTCTGCTCTTAGATATATAAGTGTTCCCTAAAACTTCACCATGGGCCATAATATGTTTGTGGGATCTCATCTCAAGAGCAAAGAGGAAGAGTATGTAGACTAGAGGAATGGGAGAAAGGAATTATTTTATGTTGCTCAAAATGGTTTGGGATTGAGTGGTTTTTGCATGGGCTATTTATAATAATGTCTGTGAGTAGCTGAAGGAAGATTTGGTGCAGCTGTATGCTGAAGAAGGTGACAGAAAAGCAAGAGAAGGCAAATGGCATTTCTCAATGTTGTTAACTTTAGGCTTATGCACTGGCTGATAGAAAGCACGAGAGTTTTAGAAAAACTCAGGCCTCGAGCAAAGGTATGTAATTGAGCTTTTGTAGGGCACCGTTGTGAGGCCAAGTGTTCACTTAAACACTTCACTGAGTCTCTGATTGCTGAACTTAATGCTTCACATTTTCCTCACTTTCTCCTCTTTCCCCTTTCCTCAAAATTACCAGCTCCATGCTGTGCTCAGCTCTGCAGAAATAGGTCACTGTGCTCACCGATGCTCTGCTCTGGGGACCTTCTCTCTTGACAGTGGCAGCCAAGTGACCTGTGTCTGTAATGGCTGAAGTTCTAGTTCTGTGCAGGGGTGGTCCAGAAATGGACTGTAATTCTAAAAACCTTCCTACCCCTAAAGCACCCTTCAAACTGATTTTGGAGGAAGCAGCTTCTCTTCCTCAGGTAAAGACGTGAGGTGCATTCTGCATGGATGGAGCTGGGATCTGCCTTGTGCAGCAGTCTCAGACCATCCCATCTGCCTTGCTGCAGAGCCATAGATTCTCTGGTTTGCAGGCAAATGCCCCTCTAGTGGTTCTTAGGAGAGCCCCAACATTTCCCACGGCAAGAGAAGATGGGATTTTGTGGGCAATGTGAATTCAAGCTGGGGAGTGAAGCTTGGTGCAAATTAAACGCTGTCATGATGGCTCAGGGTGAACAGGAAGCCATCAGCAGGCAAGGGACCTATCTGCAAGTTTGCAACGTTGCAAAAGACTGCCAAAAAAGACTAAAATTACTCCAGGGTATGTGGGATTAAAAAGAGAAACCCAATGCTACTTGTTTTTGAGTAGGAAGACTTTGAGGAAAGGATTGCAATGATACCCTGAGGTGTAGAAATGTGTTGAAGCTGTAGGCATTTGCTCAGCACTGTGACTAATCTTCTGGAAACCAAAAGGAATTCCCTTAGAGGAGAATGCCGTGCGTCACCCATGGCCAAAAAAAGAGGGAGTCATGTTTCCTTGACAGCACATCATGTTTGCATATTTTCAGTGCTGGAGGAGAGTCCTTCATCCTGATCACTGCATGTTTTCAAGTATTTTCAATGTGCCTGGGGTGCCAGGATATTAATTTCAATAGCTTTGTTTAAATAGATTGTATAAGTAATTCAGTCAGTGAGTATTTATAATAGAGTTTCATATTCAAGCAGAGGCATTTTCAGTATAGTTACTCATATTACAGCTTCTTAACCAGTACATTTTAAAGCTGGGAAGTTAGAGCAGACTCTCCAGGAGCCATAAGGTTTCTTTGGGAAATATGACTTTTCTACAACGTTTTTCATGAGTTAGTAGTTGCACAACATGGTTGAGGATGAAAGAAATAATGCCAAGGATATACATAAATAGAGTAGTACTTCAGTGTTGTATTGTGGACTGCAAGAGCTTGGGCTTCAGCTTTGGCTTTTGCATTTCATTTGAGTTTTTCTTAATTGGAGAATTCCTCTCCCTCTTTTCCCCCAGTTACTGTCTGTATTCACATCTCCTTTGAAATCCTTGTAGAACCAAAAAGCTACAAACAGCAAATGAAGTTATGAGCTGCTCTCAGTGATTGTAAGATTGCTGATGTAGTGCCTAAATAAGCAGCCTGAAATATTTTTGAAGCATCAAATGCCCAAAGCAGCAGCCTTGGAAGAAGCTGCATTTCCAAGCTGACATTGCATCAAAGTAGCACATACTAATGGTGCTTGGAGCTGCTGGAAGAAATAGCAGTAAATAACTGGTTATCAAGAGCAATTTTCTTGGCTGTAATCCAATGGACAGAGAGAGTGTCTGTGATGGTGCTTTAAGGAAAGAAGGATCTTGCAGCTGATTCTTGTGTTTGCAGATTCCTTTTGACCAAGAAAAAATACCTGAGGTATTTTCAGGTGTCACCTGAGGAGAAAAGAGTAAAGTACTGGGCAAACACTGATTTCTTAATTTGTAACAGCAGAGAAAGTCTTTTTCTCTCCAGGAATCAAACCAAAGTTGCTGCAAATCATGCAGCAGCTTTGAATTGAGATTTGATTCTAACCCTGCATATGCAGTATCTCTGCAAGAGGTTAACCCTTTGTCTGGTTTCTTCACCACTGAACAAGGGTACAGCATCTCCATAATATAACGAAACAAAGTAAAAAGATTCCTGCCTCCTGTTTCATTACTTGCTTCTCTGCGACTGGATACTTTAAAAAAAAATAAATACATAGCAGTTGAGAAAGTTCTTGTGGGGCTTTACCGGTGTAAATGGGAAGGAAGATAGCTTTTTACAGTGAGAGGATGATTTTTAATGAAAGTGGTACTTGCTTTTAGGGCAGTCTACATCTTTCTTCTGTAGCTATTGAGTGTCACATAACTCACATATAACATTCTAGAAATAAATCAGTCAAATGGTAGAGGCATCCACAGCCTTGATTGATTTGATTAAGTAATCAGAAAGTCTAGCTTCAAAAAGAAAAAGACAACAGTAATTTGCATGCTCCCAACCCATGTGTGCATAGACTTGCAGCCACCTTGGCAGCAGCCAGGTGCCTGTGAGCACCCTGAGTGTGTTAGCCTACCTCCCTCTCAGCTGTCCAGTGTATTTCTCAAATGCACTGCAACAGAGGTGAGTAATTCAAAATTAGGTGACTCCTGAATTTATAGACAGGTCTTGACTGTGCCTGTGTTGTTCCTGCCTGGGTTATTGTTCTCCAAGGTGCATCAGCTAAGGCTGCTTCTGAGTTGGACACAGCACTGTGGTGTTTTTTAAATGGAACTGCCTTCTTTGCTTGCTGCCTGGCCCATCTTTATTTTGCATGCTGGCTGAATTGCAAGGAAAATTATGTTTACAAATACCTTGTATTGGTTTTGTACTTTCCCTAGCTGCCTTCCAGTTCAGCTGAATTTGTGTGTGTGCAGCCTATTGTGTTCACCAGACAGTAACACCAAATCACACGTCCCCTGCTACCACAGTGGTTGGGCTTTAATGGAATACCTTTTTCATTTTTCTGATTATCCCACTGCTTTCTGAACCATCTCCACCCTCTTTGTCTTAGTAATAATAGTCTCTGCAGACTAGAAATGCATTGTCTGTGGCTATTTTATAATTCATTGGGTATAGGGTTTTTATGATACCTTGAAGACACTGGAAGCTAGAAGTCCATTAAAGTGAAAGCACATTGGTGCTTAGGGATTAGGCTGTGAATACCTGCAGTGGGAAGCCATAGAAAGACAGGACTACAACGGTGCTTTGCCAGCTGCTCTTGCAGGATGGATGTATATAATTAGCATATGAGGTGTCAGTGGATGCTCAAGAATTATGCAGTTTTGCTCTGAGGATTTGAAAGGCTAATAAAACTTTTTGTATTATATCCTTTGGCAGGCTTCTGTGTTGACTATTCACACCCTCTTGAATATAAGCTTTTAACTATACTGGCTTTTTACTGTGTCTGTGTGCAGGGTGGTGAGAGTAATTTAAACAATATTTATATGCATCACTTGATTCTTCTATTGCCATAAAAATGTTTTTGTATCCCCGGGTAAAGGAAATTATCCTCTGGAGTTCAAGGATAATATATTAAATGACTGGGTTTAAGACTGGGTAAGGGAAGTGAGCCTGTGCAGTTGCAGTACAGGTATGGAATCCTGTTTGAATCTCATAACCTTGTTGAAGTGAATGAAATTCAGGGTGCAAGATTTAGCCCCTAGAGGTAAACCTAGAAAAGATTCAGTAGGTGAAGAAATTTGGGATTGATTAACAAAGGGCCTTACAAGAATAATAATTGAGGATTACCTTTCTACCCTAACTTTAAATGGTGGTGCACATTTCCCTCATCTCTCCCTCAAATTGTTTCTCCCTCTGAGCTGGGTTGTCTTAATTACTGCACCTCATATGTAATATTGTGAATCCCTGGGAATAGTTTTTTGGGATTGATAGAAACCTGTTGACACTGAGGAACAAAGTTGACTACAACTGATAGAAATGTCTGGAATAATTTTCTGTGTTTGTCATTCAGAAGATCCTTTGGTGTTAATTTGGGATATTGCAATAGTAACGATTGATGCAGTTTCTCTGTCAGGCAAATTCAGATATGCTTGTAACTTGGAAACCAAAAAATCTGCTTGTGACAGCTAATTCAAGGCAAACAAAGTGTCACTGTCTCTCTTGCTTTGTTTTGTTTTATCATGAGCATTTATTGTATTTCTTTTTTCAAGAGATAGGATAAAAACAATGCTGCAGTTCTGCTGTTTCTTCAATTTCTGTAATGCTTGCAGTAGAGTGATTAATTCTCTTTTTCTCTGTTTTTTCTTACAGTATCAAGCTTTTGGCTGTGCAGGAGCTGGCTGACAGAGAAGCATTGGAAAAGGTATTTTAAAATACATCTAATGCAATTATTGTAACAGATTTAAGCTCTTAAAGCCCTCTGTGTAAGGTATGCTTCCTGACTTCATGGAATACCATGCTGCATAGAGTAGGATGTTTTCCTAGCTACATAGTGCATGAAGGCAGAGGGTCAATGTTTTGTCTAAGCTGACTGTGTGCTTTTGGTGTTTTCTGATTTTACAGCAAGCTTGGGGTAAGCAATGCTTAATAATAATCAGTAACTGATAAATCCAGCGTTGCTCTTCATCCAAGGGTATTGCAAGCACAGCAGGCTCAGGTCAGATAAGTGGAAGAAATTCTTTCCTGTAGGGGTGAGAAGGCACTTGAACAGGTCCTTCAGGGCTGTGGATGCCTCATTCCTAGGAGTGTTCAAGGCCAGGCTGGATGGGGCTCTGATACCTGGTCTGGTGAAAGGTGTCCCTCCCATGGCATGAGGGTTGGAACCAGATGATCTTTTAAGGTCCCTTCCAACCCAAACTGTCCTATGATGGCCTGCTTCTGGATGAAGAACCAAATTTCTTTCTGCTTTATGATTCTTCTGGCCTGGCAAGTAGGACTGGACTCCCAGTGCCCATACTGGGATCAGTGGCTCAGTGGCTCACCTTCACTTTTCACACTAACTCCTTCACCTCAAGAGCAAGGAGGCAGCATGAGAGACCTTTTAGCATGCAAAGAAAACAAGTGGATTCTGAGCCCCGTTGGAAAAACTGCTGTCCTAGATCAGGCATTGAGCTGGTCCTGATCCAAGCACCTCTGTACCTACGAGTAGTGTGGAAAGGCTCAGGGAGGAAGGAGCACCCCTTCCCCTGCCTTGGACACATCCTTGTCTGTGTGAGGGAGGATGTCCTGCAGTGCTGTGCTCGGGCTGAATCTGCTGGGTACTCTAGAAACAACGAGTGAAACAAGATAGACCAGCAGTGGGTGCTTCAGCCACTGACTGGAGATGCATTTCACCAAGAACCTTCGTACACCCCAGTTAATTCACACAGGGCTGTGGTATTTGCTGGGTCCCCAGGATGACTGAGGAATTGAGAATCTGACTCCGTGTTCTTAGAAGGCTAACTTATTATTTTATGGTATTATCTTATATTCAAGAATGCTATACTAAAACTATACTAAAGAAAGGATTCTTACAGAAGGCTTAGCAAGATACTAATGAAAAACTCGTGACTGACTCCTCAGAGTTCGACACAGCTGGACTGTGATTGGTCATTAAGTAAAAACAATTCACATGTTGGATAATCAATCTCCAACCACATTCCAAAGCAGCAAAACAGGGAGAAGCAAATGAGATAATTATTGTTTTCATTTTTCTCAGAGGCTTCTCAGCTTCCCAGGAGAAGAAATCCTGGCAAAGGGATTTTTTCAGAAAATATGACAGTGACGTGGGGCATCTCTTCACTGGTGTTTGTCAACTCTGATTTTGACTTGAAGAGGTAGATTTTGATAAAAGGCAGTGACACAGGACTACGCATGAGACATTGTCATTTTTCACACATGAACAAGACACGGTTCTCAACCACTCATTGTGCAAGTCAGGTTGATCTTAGGAAATTTTCATTGTTTGTAGCAGTTGGATCCTCTGGCTCCTCACACCCTGTACCCTTCCCACCTTTCCAGCAGACCTGTACCTCCCTTTGGCCCAATGCCTCCAAAAACATGGCCTGCCAAGGTTAAGTGATCTCAGCCTGGTGGGAATGGCAGTTTGAGGCATTGTCTGAAGCGCTGCAGGAAGTTCTTCAGAAAGGCTCAGCCTCAGAAAAATGATCTTTCTAAATTGAGCTCTCTGAATATTTGATATCTGCTTTCATACAATGCCAAGCTTAAAGAATTTACAAGGCCAGTTTAGCCCTATGGAAAATAACAGGCTTGAATTATGTAAGTTCAAAGGAATTTGCTGTCTTTATTTTTTAAGTATAGGAGGGGAAAGAAGCTCACAGAATAGAACAAAATCCCTTGTCCAGCCTGTTTGCAGAGTCAGGTTTTGAGAATACTGTGCTGAGTTTTGTATTTGTAAGTCATTATTTATTAGTATTATACTGCAGGAATACAGAATATTATTAAATTATAATATTTTCATATTTATTCTAAAATGGGTTTCACTGGTTTTCAAAGGGAAGTTTCTTTTAAAGTAGCTATGGACATGGTAACTTAAAACTGTTTTTCCTGTAGGACACTTTCCAGTCTGTCATAGATGGTTTTGAACTTTGGAAACTTTCTTGTTTCTAAATTTTGCTGCCCAGCTTTGAAAGTGTTCTTATATATTTTTGTCACTTGCATGGAATCCTGGAGTGAGCAGCAGCCCCCTGCTGAACAGATTTAGGGGCTGCAGATTAGCTCTATGAAATCAAACCACATTGAAATTGGGTGCATGTGCAGCAAGTCTCTGGAGAACCAGGGCCTTGAGGCAGTGCCATAAAATTATTCTGGCCATGAATAACACAGGCAGACTGCGAGGGGAGGCGCATGAAGCCAGTGGACTGTTGGAGCAGGCTGGGAGAACTTGCTTGAACTGTTGGGGTGTTGCTTGCTGGAAAAGGATTTTGTGCTGTTCTGTCTTAGGTACTTAAGTGTCTTTAAATGTTTCTCCCACCTTGGCTATTGAAAATGAACTAACACACTATGAGAAGCTTTGTGTCTTGCAAAGATTCCATTTGTTTAATTTTGTAAACCCCAACGTTTTGGCAAATTGGGCCAAAATGGCCCTTTAAGCCCAAGATCTACCACACTGGTGGCATTAATGCCCCGTGTTGCCAAAACAGGAGGCATGATTGCCAGAGTTTAATTACAGCCTGTCTAGGACTGGGACAAGCTGGACTGACCCTTGGATGCTGTTCATGAGCTGGTTTGTTTTTCTGGGGTGCCGCAGTCTCCTGTAAGCACCACAGACAGGGTGCTGCTTGTGGAGCTGAGCCCCAGCACCATGCTTACTGCTGTTAGGAGGAATGGAAAATAATAATTTATTTCAGTGAACCAGGTCACATAAGAAGAACAAGAGCCTTTACCTGGAGAAAATTCTGTATCAGAGGTGGGTTTGTGTTTGTTTTGGCCGTAGCCCATCAGATCCATTCCGGCACAGGCTCCATGTGAGTGGTCTTGCAGGCAGCTTAAAACCAAGCCTGTGCTTACCTGTATTTTGCCCTTCCTTGAGCCTTCAGATCAATGTGTTTGCTTCCCCCTGCCCCCTTGCTGAGCTTGCCCTGCTGCTGTGGGATTGTGTTACTTGCGTGCCTTCCCTTCAGCAGTGCTGCTGGCATTTGCCGAGGGCAGGGAGGAACACAGATGGCCAGGTGCCATGGGAGGGCTTCCAGCCATGCCAGCCTCGTCCCCACAAGGGTTCAAGGCTGCTCAGGCTTTAGGAAGAAGTATCACAGGCATTCAGGCCTGTTGGTGCAGAGTCCTGTATGGAACATCTCTTCCAGAAGCACAGCGCTGGGAGACGCTCCCAGCGACACTCTTGCCCCCAGTGTGTGTTTGAGTACTTTGCTTTATCTAATTTTGGCAAGTCCTTAATTGCAGAAGAAGAATTCTACTTGCCAAATGTTAATTGTATTTTTTTGGGGAAGGGGAAAAAATAATTCTCCCAAGGAACATGCTGTTTTTATAGTTTAAAAATAAATCTGTGTGAGTAATTAGGTTGAACTGCCTGGCCAGGTGACATTTCTCATTGGTTACTGTTTTAGCATTTAAACTCATAGCCCTTTTCAATAGGCAAGCATGTATACCAAAGCAATTGTTCTCACTGGTGCTTGATGCCAGTTAGTTATGCAGGAAGAATCATCCATCTTACAAGAAAAATAAAAATATTCTTTGCATTCTAAGCATTTCCTACTGCATCTTTCAAGTGTTAACAGGGGCTCTTGAGTTCATTTCTGCTTCAGAGGTGGGTTTTAGAAGAAAATAAATAATTTGTACAATTCAATAATCCCCTGACAGCTTTTTAAAAGGTAAAGCCTGCTTTGTGAGCAAGCAACAGTAACCCATTATTTTCCTATTTGTGTATTAAAATGTAAATGCATTTGCTGTTACTCAAGATGACAAAGGACTGTTCACTTGACTCCACAGAGAAGTTTGTTGGCTTCTCATCTAGGAAATGCAAATCATGTGATTCTGATCTGCAGTTTGTGAAGTGTGGAATTCACTTGCAAAGTGATTATTGTTCTGCCTGGAGTTGGAAGAGATCTACTTAGACTACTATGAGACACACTAGGTGGGCTAAAGGATAATAGAAATTGGGGTGAGAATTTTGATTTTGTTAAGGGACGGGATGATGTTCTTGAAGTTGACAATAACTTGCAGCTTGAAAATCAGTGTAAGTTACACAAGTTTCACTATTAAATTAGCCATCATTCTTATAGGCAGACCTTATGTGAGCTATGTCCAAGAGGTCAGTGAAAAGAAAGTTAGCAAAACAATTATCAGTCTCCTTGCACTGTCTGTGTGGGGATTTTCACCTTCACTAGAGAAGTTTTGGAGGTCACAAATCAAGAGGGAATGAAAGTCTTTCACCTGGTGCTTCTGAAGCACAGAATGGATTCTCTGGACACGAGGGCAAGCAGCCGTGCACCTTCTCAATACAGGAAGGGCTCTCTTCTGTCTGCTGGTCTAACCTTACTTGGTGATCCATTGAGAATTTCTGCTGGAGAAGATAGAATGAGAAAACTCTGATCAGCCTTCTCCTCCAGGTAGATTCCCTCACACCATCTAAAGAGCAATTTCTCTTTCTTCATATTTACCTTGTTGCATTAAATGGAAAACTTAGCTCTCTAAACAGACAGTGTCTATAATCTGTGCTCATTTTTGGCTTTTCCCACCTCCATGAGCAGTACTATTGTCTTCCACGATATGGAATCAGTTTCCTGGGTTTCCTCACCCACAGGAAAGAACAGATGTCTGTATCTGGGAAATATTTGCTAAATTCAGCCCCTTCCCATCGCACAGAATTTTCACACTGTTTATGAGGAATCAGTGAAGCACAACTGA